GATTATGGAGTGGAGGGGTGGCCTGGTTTGTATTCACAGCACGCTCCTGCACTGTCTGCCTGTGAGCCGTATCCCACTCCGACAAGCACCATTACACCAGGGTGGCCTTAATTTCAACAGGAGAGTCTCACCGTTCTGTCCGCAGCCAGAATAAACAATGTCAAGTGTAAAGGAGGAATCTACAGATAAATAAAAGTACAAAGTGGAAATGCAAATTCCATGTGCAACATTGTAGGCTGAAGGCAATGTGGATAACAATATCTTCCATAGGATTTATTTCTATAGTTTTAACACTGTGAACAGTTTTGAATTAAGTTGCTTTTTATTGTTGTTCTGATTGATGTAATATTTCTGAAAAGTGGCAGACTGTTATGCTCCCTTTGTATAAAATGACAAAATGGCAGCAAACATACAGCTCCAATTTAGATTAAATAGACAGATGTATTTGACTAAATCAGAGGGTTCTGTTGTACTTGCTGCACATGGACAATTAATCGGGGTGTTGTGCTCTCATATGGTGGATAATTTCTCTTGTGCTTTGTTGTTGCTATTTAAATGAGCCATCAATAAACAGAAGGCTACAAAAGCGAGACATTGGATCATTTGACCAAATAAAAAGTGCCTTATTTTTTCCTGAATATGTTCAGTGGTTAAGTGTTCACTGCATACTTTGCACTAACTTGCTTTGCTGAATTAGAACTACAGCTGCATGTAGAATTACGGTGAGCTCTCATTTGTGCGCACTAGTAACAGTAAATTAAATTTATAGCACAGCGCTGCTGAATTCTCAAATCTGATTGGTTGATCTACCTTTATGGTAGACACCTCAAATAAAAAAGGTCTAATAATAAATGGATTAAAAAATGCATTATTTAACTAAGAAACTGTATAATCATTGATACAGTGAAGGAAAATATATCTGTAATAAGTTGCATTTTTTGTTTTAACTTCAAGAGAAAGTGAGGGAATGACTTTTTAATAGTTGTTGTAACAGAAGCGATAACAGGAACCAACTTCTTCTGATGTTCAACAACATTCCACAACTATAAACAGATAAGCATTCTTTAATAAATGTTAAAAATGACAGTGTTGGCAAATTAGGTTTGGTGTAAGAGGAATAAAACATTGCAGCGTGCTGTCATTAAAAAATAATCAACTTTAGGGAGGTAACAAAGTATCACACCACCCCATTATTGATTTTCCTATAACAGCACGTCCTGTCATGTCAGTCAGTCAGTAAGGTCTGATCAGACTATCATTGGTCTTTTTCCAGAAAGACCTAATTCAAGCCTAAGCATTAGGGCACCCCCACAAAAATAAATAAATAAATAAATACATACATACATACATACATACATACCTCACCACACTGAACACACACTGATCAGATCACATGACTTCATCTCCCATTAAAGTTTTTCATGAAGCATAAACAATTGATATTGGTGTTGACGCAATTGTGACAGCAGATCCAAGTCTGTATTCATTCTCTCTGGCCTTTATTTCTGATCTTTCTCACAGGACTCATGGAGTATGAGGGTTCTGTTGCTGTCTTATGACTGACCTGTGCAAATAGTTTGTTGAGCCTCATCTGCTCAGATAACACGCTGACGTTGTGAAATAGGTGCGGCTGCATGTGACTCCACATGTGAGGAAACCACCAGAACTCCTCCTTGTGCTGTAGCAACATGTCATCACCTTCATCCTCCTCTTCAGTCCCTAGAAAAACACACACACACACACACACACACACACAGATTACAGTTGAGACTCAGCATCAGAAGACTGGAGGAATATGGTTTGTGAAATTGAAGTCTCACTGTCTTTAAAGATTACCTGCATGGTAGAACTTTCCAGAGAAGCCGAGGTTGAAGGTAAAGTTTGGGACTAGTGTTCGTAGTTTGGTTTGTGTGTTTAGGAGAGCCTAAAAATAGAAAGTGCATTTGCAGTTTCTGAAACAGTCAATGTTTTCTTAACACACACATTCTATGTCAGTGAGACATAGCTCTTACATGTTTCAAAAGGTCATCTCAGTAATTCATTCAAAGGTTACTTTAATGGAAATGTGAAACTACAATCAGCAAACTATAAATTCATTAGCTATACTCTTGGGCAAGTGAATGCTTCAATGTGCTTGTCCAGTCTTGCATTCTGGTTGCCTAGAAACTGTACAGTTATCACGCTCAAATACAAAAGAAATAGCAGTATGTATACAAGACTGTGCATACTCATAATTGCTTGTTCTTTTTATTTCCTGTATTGTTAAAAAAATCAGATATGTCAAAGTCATATTTTATGCACGCTAGCAAGAAAAATGTTAATATACCTCAACATTAACTAGGTTAGAAGACAGTAGTTAAATAAATGTATTCTAAATGTATGATGAGCTAGTGAGCCAATTAATTGCATTAATATAGATTGACATTAAAATGATGATTAATATCTTTTATCCAAGTAATAATATAGTTCTAATAAAAATAGCTTGGTATCAATAGTTTTTCCTTCAGCAGTCACCTGATTGGCGTGGAGTGTTTCACATTCAAAAATACAAATCTTCATGTTTCAAAGAAAATAAAAGGGGCAGAGTTTTTTCTCTGGTGGAAAGATGGGAGATAAAAAAGAAAACCTTGTGACAACTGCTTAATACTCTGTCTACCAGCTAATAAGGAAAAAAAAAACACCAATTATAACAATGTCAATCAAACAACAAAAAAACAATAAATATTCCAGAGACATAATATTCTTGGCTCAGGAACCCTGGCTAGCGATTCGTGCTCTCTCTCCAGATGATATCATTCAGACATGGTAAAAAGTTAGTGCAGCCTTTAAAACTATAAACTATGAATAGACGTGACCAATAGATGGCAATGTGGAGCTGAGACAGCGTGTTATAAAGAGCATTTCAACACTTTCTGAAAATCTACAGGCATCTAATATGGATTAGCATTCACATGTGTTCTGTTCACAGGCAGCTGGTCAAAAGGCACACACATTGAAGAAAGTGAGTGTCTTGCATCAATCTAATGATGCCCTAAAGCAGCAAAAATACTCTGTGAACCACAGCTGCAGTGTAAACAGCTGCACAGTGAGACTTATAATACAAAACAATCTTGCCTTCAAGGTAAAATTGATAGAGAGAGGATAAGCAAAGAACAGCATTAAGCTGACACAAATGATACGACAGGGAGAGATACCTACAAGCTCCAATACAAATCTCACACACATGCACAGAGATAGCTGCGATGGCATCACAAATCAGGCCATGCTGAGAGAGACGTGGCTGCATGACAGGATAAGAGCCTCTGTTGCACAATGATTTAAGAGCCAAAGTGTCCTTGAGCATGTCTGTTTGCTCTGCCTCAAGTGTTTGCTCAGTGTGTCTGTATAATCCTCCAATTTGTGTGGCAATCGTAGCTCTAAGCAAAATCAGCAAGCACTGGGTGGGGTTGAGAGAGCCATTACTCCATTGAATATATTTGTTTTAAAAAGTATATTTGACTTTGACACAGATGTCTACACTTTTAATAAAGTTTGCAAACTCGGGCAGCAGATCATTAAGAATTTTGAGCTTAGAAAACATTTAATTGAACAACGTAATGAATCGTAAACTCAACTTAAGTTATTAAATGGGCTGCAATCCTTTAAATGACTAAAGCATTAGCAGCAGCATATAGCTCATTTCAGACATGATTAAGTGCCTTAGACAATCTGTATGTCTTTATTTATTAAAAAAAACAAACAAAAAAAAAAAACAACACACACACACACACACACAGTGAGCAAGCAGGGGGAGGAGGAAGTGAAAGCAACAGTTGGTGGGGTTACAAGAAAAAAGACATAAAGGAAACTAAACAGAAGGTGTAGAGGAGGCCAGGGGTCAGAGCCCATCCTCTATCACCATAGCAACCTCATCTGTCTCCACAGATACAGGCGCAAGTCAGAATCATCATGTGGGATCCTTATCCGTTGTAGGAACAAGTAAAAATTGGTGGACAATCTCCTTCTAAAGCTTGTACTCTGACACAAGACTTGACACTGTCTTCTAGGACTGCACAATTAATTGTATTTTTACCATGACCTTATTTTTTGCCTTGCTCAATTAATTAAACATAACTGACTGATATTGGTGAACTGTGCTAAATTAGCTAATTGGCAGTCATTACAAGTAATTTTTAATTGTCTCTGGCACATGACTTAACATTCATATGTTTTACATGCATTGTTGCTTGTGCTATTTATAGCATAACTGTCTTTGAATTCAGCATTCGAGTGGTCACTTCATTAATATGAAAAAAAAAATCAGCCTCACTCGGAGTTAAAGATTTATGCATTTGAAGGCATACAGGCTTGATGATTTATTTTAACATAAAATGAAAATGTGCAATACTTTTGGTTCTAAACTGTCAAAATAACTGTGGTATTGTGGTGATAATTGTGGTGATCATTTTAGCCACTACTGTGCAGGCCTATGGGTATAAGCAGGGTTCTCAAAACAAAAATGATAATGTAGCAATTAATTATGGAAGCAAGCAGCACATGATAGCCATTCATTAGCATAACCACTAATCCCCTGCTGCATTGCATTCCATCACTTCCTGTTAACCACAATAACTGTCCATTTAAGAAAGGCATGAGCTCCTCTTAAGTGGCTGTCAGCACACCTCACAATAAGTCAATGCTATAAGCAGGCCATTGAGGAAAAGGCCTAGATGACCACAAACTGTAAAATTTCCTGCAAATAGTACATTTTAATTGTGTTTGATGCTCTGCTGGACACAATTCAGTCCTGCCCCATGCAAGCATGACATCCAGAGGAGTAATACTTGGGAAATGGACATGAGCAAATTTTCTGATTAACATGTTCTTCTTTTGGCTGCTCCCATTAGGGGTTGCCACAGCAGATCGTTGGTCCACTTATTTGATTTGGCACAGTTTTTATGCTGGATGCCCTTCCTCCCCAATTTTCATCCAGTCTTAGGACTAGCACTGGGAGTACATGGTCTTGTACAACAGGAATCGAACCCGGGCCGCGGCGGTGGGAGCATCGTGCCCTAACCACTAGTCCTCCAGGGACCTTTTCTGATTAACATGTACGCCTATACAATCAAGTATAGCTGCGACTAGCTGCTTTCTTCAAGTCTAAACTGTAGCTGACCTGCCAAGAAGTTTCGTCTTGCAAGAGGCTGCAATTTAACTTGGCAAGTCCACACTGGAGTTCAGCAGTTAAAGTGCACTTTACACCAATGCGCTTAAAAAATATTTAGCATTGCACACACACAACTGTCCTATCCGGACAGCAGAAAACACCATTGTGAAACAAGCCAATGAATTAAGCACTTTTGTTTAGGAAAGAAAGTTTGACCTCAAATGTCAGCGTGTGGGCCATGTGCGGTGTGAAATGTGTGCGAGTGGGTGGAAATAAGCTTTAGTGCTTAAGAGTCACTGCTGAAACAGCACACAGTGAGAACAGACGTGATTAGGCCTCCATTAGACAGGCTTGTTTGTGGATGCTATGCTGCTCCACTGCTCGAGCACTGATTACAGCCCACTCCTTCAGCAGAGAGCAGGTGGCAGGGCACACACTGCTCTTTTCCCGTCAGCGAAGTTTAATGAAATGGAGCATGAAACCCAACAACAGGTGTAACAGTGTTTTCTTTTATCCCTTTCACCTCTTTAATGCATAGTAATTATTCTCTAGACCAAGACTGTAAATAACCAAGCTCCACATACACACACATAAACCATAAAGGTCAAGTCTCTTTCTCTATACAGCAGGTTTTACATGCATCATATTCTAGTATTCATTTAATATATTAACATGACAATGTGCAATTTTCCATGAGGTTCAATCTCCTCTTAAACAGCCTCAGACCTGCTATAAGACTAAATCATAAGTATAAGCAGAGGTACTTGCTAGATTCCAGCTTACAGTACACTGAATCTTACTGTCAACATTCATTCCCACAGAAATATACAAAGGACCAGCCACATGCCTACATCACCAAATCAAGCAGTAAAGCAGAGCTTCACAGTTTTTACCCTGCACCAAACACTGTAGTCACACTGTGAGGTTATAAAAGATAACATTCATTAACGTTAAGCCATTTAAGTCGTATTTTATATACAACACACCTTCAGGTATGAGAAACACTCCACATTTCTCAAGGTTGTCTGTTAGCATGCTTTCACATAGTCTGGCTAGTCTGGTCTCAGTTCAGTTCCACTCTAGCCAAGTTCAACTGCAGTGAGAAAGTGATTTGACCCTGAATCAACCCAACTACAAGAAGTGAATCCAACATGCCGTGTATTTTGGGTTGCAGGCAGCATTTTTTGTACATGTAAGCTGCTAAACTCAGCCGTGAGGCAGAAACTGAGTTAAAAGGACCGAGATGTAGCACTGTAGAAATGCCATTCTGGATATTTGGACAGACAAACCAAAAGAAAAGATAAACAATGGGTGTGTATTTATTTACATAATTATCTAACCATTTACTTGGAAACCACTTGCTGCTACTGAGGATAGCCCCATATGGACAGCCTAAAGATACATGAGATTACTGTGGATGGTACCACTTAAGAACCATGAAGATGGCTTTGGACTGCAATTGCTATGATGGCAGTTAATAGACTTTATGTTAAAACTATAATGAGTTTCCTGGTTACACATTTGCACCTTTTGACCGTATAGTACACAGTTACATCAGGGAATTATTTATAATTGCACATCAGGTGTCACCCAGATGAGCCTGGTTCCTCTCTAGGTTTCATGTCGTCTCAGGGAGTTTTTCCTCATCACCTTCGCCTCTGGCTTGCTCATTAGGGACAAGTTTATAAATTTAAAATTTATATCCTGAATTTATATATTTCTCTAAAGCTGCTTTGTGATAATGTCCGTTGTTAAAAGTGCTATACAAATAAAAATTAATTTAATTTATTTAGCACCATGTTCTCTGTGCTCAGGTGATATTTGTGATTTCTATGCATAAAAGGCTTGTTTATCTTTTTCCAGTAGTTTTTTTTTGGTTTGTTTAATTATGTACAATGTGAACCCAAAACAAACTGAACAGTGAACCAAAATGATAAATTTTGCTCAGTTTTAGACTTGGTAAAAGGACTAATTAGTGTGAAAGGACCTTTGCACCCTCACTTATCTGCAATATGTAGTTCTACATTTGGGCTTGTTATATTAATGCACCATGACCTTCTTCAATGAAATGACTTCAGTTAAACATCCTCTATGCTGTACACCACTGTGTTTCTCAAGCCATGTTTTATTACAAAGCAAGAAAAAATGTCCAAACCCTCCATATTATTGGTAGGAACAATAGTTCATGCAGATGTAGAAAATTCTCATACCGATCCAGACCTAGTCAACAGGGGACACAATTCCACCTTACATTTCTAAACCTGTGAGAAATTGTGAAATTGAATCCAGTATGTTATTCTAACACTTATCTTCCTCAGCCAGATGTAACAGCTCTGACCACCAACTGTATTGATCTGACATTTTCAGCAGATCGAGCTCTATAAATTGGACAGACTCAACATCAATTAACACCCTATAGCTAGCGTAATAACTAAGGAACTTAGCAACATCCCCTGTGTATGAAACACGGTGGTGCCAAGTTAGTCAAACTTAATTGACGTTGGGATAATTAACTGGCTGATTGACTCAGGAAAGCTCTCATCCCACGCAGTGGGATATAAGGGTACACACGAGCTGGCAGTCAGCCCTTTTCGCTGAAGCAAAACTTTGTCTCTCTTACCCTTCTCTATGCTACCTCTACTACATTCTAATGTAATAGACAAGTGTGTTGTCAATGCAAATGCCTAATTAATTATCCTGTTATTTCTCATTAAAAGGCATGAAGGTGTAATAACCTGTCTGAGAGGGAGACCTTCAGGCAATGTCTCTTTTAGCACAAAAGACATAAAAAGCAGGCAAGTTCAAGTGCTTCTCCATGTTACACTGTTAAGAGCCAACAGCCCCCTCAAGGATTTTTTTTTAGATAGTGTTATGGCTTACATTTATGGAAATTATTAAAATACCTCTCCCTTTTCTTACTACGAGGGCTAGGGAATTACTGCAGGTGCAGCAGGATACAAATATACTACCATAGCTGTAATCAGGCAGAGAGGGCAATAAATAGTAGGTTAATAAGGACCTTACCCAAATTAGCATATTGCCCCTAGGGCATGCTTTAACAAGTGTAATCACTGCAAATGTTTGCTGTGTGGCCCTTCATACCCAGTCACACCTCGCTGCTTAGAGCCATCAGCAGCTTGGTCTGCTGTTCTACCACTGATGTAGATTTAAGCAATATCGCAAGCAAGAGTGCTGTTATACTGACTGTCATGAGTCACATCGTTCTGATATTCAGTATAACAGCACCATTGTGAGTGTGATATTGCTTTTATATAACAGTTCTGTAAATAAGAAATAAGTATCAAGTGACTGTCATTTCAGACACAATATGGCCAAATATTTTGTTTATATTCGCTCTGTCAACAAAAATAGTTCCCAAAGAAGCCACAGCTAGATAGAGCAACGCACAGACTGACTGACAGCCCGTAGTAAGCATAGTGATGTTTTGAACATAATGAACTATTGCCAGAATTGGAATTTTATGTAGTGAACACAGACAAGCAGAGTGATACACACAGTGAAATGTACCAGTGCTGTTACACTAAATATCAGCACTCTTGGAATGCCTCTTGGACCAGAACTAACTGTTGTATAATGGGAAATGTTGGGTAATGAACTAGAGGCTCTAAAACTAGTCTGTGCATTTATATGTAAGGAACATTTGATGTTAAAAGCCATGTAAGCCTTAAATATTAAAAACCATTACCATGAAATGAGCAATAAGCAATGATTCATATATTGTTCTGAAGGAAGAAAACTGTCAGTATGAGAACAACTCCGTTGGGGAAAAATGACATAATTTGATAAATTCATATACAAGGAATTGCCTTCATACATTTTCTGGCAAACGCTCTCATTTCATGATGTATGAATAAGCTGAAAAGCAAATATAGACACTGACCTTCACATCTGTCACTTTCATGCGCGTTCCTTCCTTTCCCACAAAGATGTCGTCCACATCCACAAGTATGTGTCTCTCCAGAGACAGGCACAGTCTCTTTCCAGTTAGATAAGCGATAGCATCTACAAAAATCAGCTTGTGCAGCCAGAATGAGAGGTTGTTGCCAAACAAAACTCTCTGGATTCCATCATGAAGGCCCAGGTCCTGCACCACGGTGGCATGCAGCACTCGATGGGGGCCAAGGTGAGCTAGGGCCTCTGATGATTTAGTGCTGGCTAGTAGCACAGGTTCATAGGTACTGTGGTTGGATTGGAAAACAGTCCAGTCATCACCTGGCAGCGGACCTTGCTCCACTTCGTTGGGCTTGGTGACATAGAGCAGCGGCGCGGCAGGGTTGATTCTGTAGTCCCGCAGGCCCAAATTAGAGTGCAGGAAAAGAGGAAAGCCCTTAAGTTGAGCGCTAAGCAGCGAGTTCTCATTGGCTTTGAAGAAGCCAATAATACCCACACCAAACTCTGAGCAATACTTGTCAAGAAGGTCTCGGTTCCATGCATCCAAGTTGACATATTTAAGGACATTCTCATAGATGACTAGAGCGTAGCGGCCCCGGTCACGTTCCATCAAAGTGGGCATGTCGCCCTTGCTAGGGGCAATCTCTGTGTGGTAACGGAAGCGACTGGACTCTAGGATGGCCACGATCTCCTGTCCCAGCTGGGAGTAGATGCTCTCTACAAACACTAGCACAACAGGTTCTGTGCGAGAGTTGTCTACTGCTTTGACAGTCCGCTGGTGGCCAATGAATGGGGGCAGGAAGAGCGGTACCCGCTGCAGGCCATCCCCCGCTGCGACCACTTCACCACAGTCACTGAAGGGCAATGGAGGTGCCTCCTTTATCTTGGGGCTGTTGCTGACATAGTAAGCCAGGAGCGCCATAGACAGCAGGCAAAATATAATGAGCACCAGGATGAGGCGGTGGAGCTCCAGTTGCCTGATGCCCCTCAGGAGCTTCCACAGCCCCATCGCC